TAGGGCAAGTGTGCAAGCCATCTGGACTGCTTGCTGTAGGTCCTAAGATGAACTGGGTGTGAAAAGCCAGAGGAAGAAATGGATTAAAGTGCTGCCCTCCCCCACCCCCAGCAGCTGGTGACAGTGACAATCATCAATCATCAAAACAGTTGCTGAGATCAGAATCTGTCACAGCGACAGGGATGCACACAGGATTTCCTCTAACAACATCCACAGTCAAGCACCCACCAGGAAACTTAGTGACTATGCCCCAGGCAGCCCCAGCTATCCCCAATCTCTCTCTCAGAAAACTTCAGCAGGATGTGTGGGAGCCTCTAAAAACAAGCAGTTCTACAACACTGTCTGTGCTTTAAGGTCTGACCCCTCAGCTCACTACCCCCACAACATGCACGTTTATTCTAACGGAACTCATCAAAATGTAGGCGGCAAACCTGGTTTGATGCCATCTCTCTTAGGATTTGATATATCAGTCAGATGGAATGACATTTTCAAAGCTGCTTCTAACTGGGCAGTGCCCAGGCTTGGTCAATGGCCCTGATTGCCTACCTACTATCGGAAGCTAGCCCATGACACAGGCCTCCGGACCTGGCAGAAAAGATTTAACCCAGCTGGAATAGATCAATTCGTTTAATTTTTTTCTTTTCACAAGCTGTCAGTCTTGCCAACTTTTTAAAAGGTGACACTTCAAAGCACCAATATTTTTTCTTAACATGCAAGATGGGATCCTACCTTCTTAGCCCTACTTTTCAAAATTAAATGACCAATGAAAATACTACCTTAGCAGCAGTCTCTTTTTTTAACTGCTCTTCCAAACTGATCTTCATTTCCTGAAGACTCTCAAGCTGTTGAGACTTCTCTCTTAATGTGGACTCCAACTGTGAAAACAGAAAAAGCTGAGACAGAAACTCCCTCAGGCCCACAGTGCACTTATGCCTAAAAGAGCCTAGAGCCCGGAGAATTACACCAAGACACTCAGGCTACACTGGGAATACTCTCACCCTTTCAGCTCTGTGGATCCCCTCTGTATTCTTCCTGAACTATTCTTTCATTAACCATTATTAGGCACCTACTGTATTCTAAGGCCTCAAAATGGAGAAACCAGGGGAAACAGACGTGGGAAGCATGAAGGAAGCAGCATTTAATTCTGCCAGAAAAGTTACAAAGGACTTCCTAGAGGAGATGACATTTGACTCCTACATTTTTACAGGGCAAAGACAAGGGTGACAAGGGGAGAGGATGGAGAGAGATACTCCAGTAAGAGGGAATGGACGGCACGCATTAAAAACACATGCAGGAACGGTGGCATGTTCAGCTGGCCTATAGCATGGCACATTGGGAGCCACAGGCACTGAGGCGGAGAGAGTGTGTGAGGCAGGAGAGCTCTGGCTGGGCTAAGGATACGGACTTGATCCTGTAAATAAAGGAAACCACTGGAGGGCTCTCCACTAGACTGAGATGCGAACAAGTATAATATTTAAGTATCACCTTGATTTCAATATGGAAATGAATTAGGGACAAATTTTGGAGGCAGAGAAGTAAGTTAGGCTGTTAAAATAAGCCAGGTGAGAGTGAAGTCTGAACTCAAAGAGTGGCAGCTGGAATGGAAAGGATGAGATGTATTTCAAGCGCTGGTAATTTCTGCTCGTGCAATCTCAGAAGCAAAGTGGAGGCAGGAGGCAGACTGCAGCGGGTGGAGGGGTGGCTGGGAAGTCTGGCAGTGGACATGATCAAGACTGTGGCAACAGAAGCAAGAAGAAAGATTGGTAGCTTGAGAGAGGAGTGCAATCCAAAGACTTTTTCCTTCTGAATGGGAGACACCTGGGCCTGTTCATGCATAATGGAAAAGACCAGTCCAGAGGTAGAAGTTCAAGGCCCAGCACGGTGTGGGGACGTCTGGAGAAGTCCGGAGACACTCAGTCAAAGCACCTATGCAGTGACACACTGTGCTCAGAAGCAGGCCATCATTTTCTCTGAAGGAAAACAGAAGGCTGGGAATAAAAGGAGAACCTGTAATTGAGGAGCCCAGGAGCTGAAGGTGGCCCTGCCTGATGCCTGAGGAGTGAGGCCAGCATCTGCTGAGAGTGAGGAGGCTAAGGTGAGATGACTCTGAAACTGCCACTGTGAGGAATGGAGGAGACGCAACTTAGAACACATGGCAGGCTGCATGAGGAGCACTGGAGGCCCATCTGGCAGCACGAGCAGGCAGTGTCACCAAGTCTGGTGGCATCAGCAGCTAGGGACAGCAGGACTAGTCCAGGGTTGGGCAGTGGTCAGGTGAGGGCAGCAGCAGGACAAGGAGTGAAAGACCGTAGGGGCAGGTGTGGTGGGAGATGAGGGGAAGAGGCAGGCCAGTAAGATGCGACCTAGGGGAAAGCAAGCAAGCCATGAAGCTGCTAAAACCAGGATAAAAAGGCAAGTTCAGAGAAGTGGAGGTCTGAATGAGGTACTCCGATGGAGAGGCCTGCAGGATGAAGAGCTGGAAGGATGGCAGATTCTGGTCAAGGAATTTAAGGCTGCAGTGAGATGTCACAGTTGGGCAAAGTACAGCCCAGTGTGTGAGAAGGGAGAGCAGGGTGGAGGTGAAAATCTCTAAATCAAGGAACAGTGAGGTCAGGAAGTGGAATGGGGTTACTATGAAAGGTACTGATGATGTCTAAGAGGACTAAGCCAGCTAGAAAACATCATCTTTTGTTTGTAACATTTTAATACATATTTCTACTGTACCTCTAAGCATATAACATGTTATGACCATGCCTGGCCTATCTTCTCCCTACACTGGAAACTCCAAGCCACAGTCACAGCTTAGCCTAACCTCCTCCAGTTCTACACAGCCTGACACACAGGGCACTCTCAGTAAGTCACCATCACACCCTTACCCCCATGGTTTTCTTCCCGCAAGACAGAAGTTCCTTAAGGCAGGTCCCATGCCTTAACTATTTTTTATTCGTTGGGTCTACCATAGTAGGAGTCAATAAATAACCACCGGTTGCTGACAGAATTAATTTGAAACTCACGACTTACCTGTCCTTTTTCTACTTTTATTCTTTCTAATTCAGCTTTTAGGCTAGAAATGGAAGCTAGAAGGAAAAAAAAATGAGACGTATTAGCATTCATCTATTATTTTGCATGAACATTTTTTTCTTTAAAATTTTAGAACACCCCCAAAGGATTCAAATATATGCTGAACATGGGTTCTGGGGGGCTGTCTCAAAATTATCACCAAGCAATCAGCATATTCAGCGCAGGGAAAAGCAGGATCTATGCAAACGGACACGGTGTCATAAACTACTTCTAGATCACGTATCACGTCTCTGCAGGGAAACGCCACCCATCGAATCACGTTCCCCTGGGTCTGGGTTCAAGTACTGAGAATCCCATCTATGAATAATTGCCAAAGAGGCCACAGAACTCCTAAAAAGACGAGTTTTCGGCCAGGCGCAGTGGCTCACAACTGTAATCCCAGCACTTTGCAAGGCCGAGGCAGGCAGATCACCTGAAATCGGGAGTTCGAGACCAGCTTAACCAACATGCAGAAACCCGTCTCTACTAAAAATACAAAACTAGCTGGGTGTGGTGGTGCGTGCCTGTAATCCCAGCTACTTGGGATGCTGATGCAGCAGAATGCAGAACTGCCTGAACCCAGGAGGCAGAGGTTGCAGTGAGCCAAGATCTCACCACTACACTCCAGCCTGGGCAACAAGAGTGAAACTCCATCTCAAAAAAAAAGACAAGTTGTTAAAATAACCAGAATTTCTGATTATTTGAATATATCAGAATATATATTCCGAATCTGAATCTATCAGAATATCTATAAAAAATGGACTGAGTCTGTACGAAATGTTTTCCTGTGCTTTGCTGTGGTCCAGACTCCACGGCCACAAATTACTTCTTTACTGAAGTTTTCTTTAGTGACTCTAAACTACATCACTTTCATCTTCACCTATTTCCTCCTTGCAGTTTTCTATTTCTAGCTGCAGAGTTTCTTCAAGATTTTCTTTCAAACACTGTTCTGCTTGGATCTGCTCCTTTAGGAAAAGTATCTCGGCCTTCAGCTTTTCTTCTACGTGGTCTGCTGCTGTCCGCACATGAATGATGTCCTCGCGGTACTTTAATACCATCTCCCGCAGTGCCTGGATTCAAGAAACAAATGATTATTGCGTTTGTGAGAGTGAAAAGAAATAAAGAAGCTAAAGATTTTCTATAACCAGAATCTCAGATGCTGTTTTAATGGTTCAAAAATTAAGACTTTGACCATTAAGCCACTTAGAGCTTCAGGGCAGGTGCCATGTCAGGTTAACATTCATTATATTATAGAAAAGACATTTCTGGCCAAGTCGTATCTTCTGAGCCACATACTCTTCCCTCAAAACTGTTTCATAAGCAGAAAAATAAAAAGGTTAAGTGACTTACAATATGCCATTCAATCGAAATAATACCTTAGACTCCTCTACTATTACTTGCAGAAATTTGTGAGGCGTTAGGAAATGAAGACAAAACTCAGTAGCAAGTTCCCACTCAGTAGCAAGTGTGAACCAAGAGGATAAGGTTTACTTACTTACTTATTCATTCATTCAAACATGTACTGAACATCTACCACAGGCAAAGTACTACCTTAGGCCAGAGGCAAATAATGGCAGAGATGGCTTTCGAAGGTGGTAAGCTGTTTTTCTGTAATAAATTCAGTACATAATTTGTTGTTTTTCTTCCTAAATTTTAGTTCTGTCTTCTTTTAGAAAGCCTTTCAATTATATCCTAAAGCAACTCTAAAGTAAAAACGGGATTTTCAGATAACAATATATATAAAACAACAGTTTTTAAAATTTCATAAGATTTATTACTGAGGCAGGTCCAAGAATCAAGGCTTACACACTGACTACATTCTTCAAGGATTCTGGACCTTTTTTTTTCTTGAGACAGGATCTTCCTCTGTCACCCAGACTGGAGTACGGAGTGCAATGGCATAATCCTATCTCACCACAGACTGAAATTCCTGGGCTCAAACCATCCTCCTGCCTCAGCCTCCCAAGTAGCTAGGATTATAGGCACATGCATGCCACTGTGCCCAGCTAATTTTCTTATTTTTTGTAGAGACACGGTCTCACTATGTTGCCCAGGTTGGTCTCAAACTCCTGGGCTCAAGCAAAACTCCCACTTCAACCTCCCAATGTGCTGGGATTACAGGCAAGTGTCACTGTGCCCGGCCTGGATTCCTGGAACATTTTAAAATCTAGACTAGCAGGCAGTGGCTCACGCCTGCAATCCTAGCACTTTGAGAGGCCCAGGCAGGCAGATCACTTGAGATCAGGAGTTCGAGACCAGCCTGGCCAACATGGCAAAACCCCATCTCTACTAAAAATACAAAAAAAGGCCGGGCATGGTGGCTCATGCCCTGTAATCCCAACACATTGGGAGGCCAAGACGGGCAGATCACGAGGTCAGGAGTTCAAGACCAGCCTAGCCAATATGGTGAAACCCCATCTCTACTAAAAAATATTTTTAAAAATTAGCTGGGCACAGTGGCACGCGCCTGTTGTGCCAGTACTTGGGAGGCTGAGGCAGGAGAATCACTTGAACCCGGGAGACGGAGGTTGCAGTGAGCCTAGGTTGCTCCACTGCACTCCAGCCTGGGTGACAGAGCGAGACTCCCTCTCAAAAAATAAATAAAAAATAAAAATACAAAAACAAATTAGCCCAGCGTGCTGGCACATGCCTGTAATCCCAGCTACTCGGGAGGCTGAGGCAGGAGAATCACTTGAACCCAGTAAGCAGAGGTTTCAGTGAGCCAAGATTGCACCATTGCACTTCAGCCTGGGCGACAGAATGAAACTGTGTCTCAAAAAATAAAAATTAAAAATAAAGCTTGGATAAAGTTCAGGAGACAATTATGAATGTCTCTGGGAAATCGGTTTTGTAGCCCAGGTTTACCCAACCACAGAAGAATGTAAGTGACCAAAAGTGTCATCTTTGGCCGGGCATGGTGGCTCACTTGAGGTCAGGAGCTCAAGACCAGGCTGGCAAACATGGTGAAACCCCGTCTATACTATAAATGCAAAAAATTAGCCAGGCGTGGTGGTGGGCGCTTGTTATCCCAGCTACTGGGGAGGCTGAGGCAGGAGAATCGTTGAAACCCGTGAGGCAGAGGTTGCAGTGAGCAGAGATCATGCCATTGCACTCCAGCCTGGGTGACGGATAATATCTGTCTCAAAAAGAAACACAAGTGTCATCTTTATGGACAGAATGATGGTGAGTGTGGTATAACCTTTCAAGTACCAGATACAAAAACAAACATCAGCAGCAGCCAGCATGGTGACCTCTTCAAACATTTAATTTCTGGCACACTCTCAATATGGTCCCACAAAAATAACTTACACATCTTGAAAACATTAGGCTACGTGAAGAAGAAGTACACAAAAGACCACATATTGTATGATTCTATTCATAGGAAAGTCCAGAATAGGGAAATCTATAGAGGCAGAAAGTAGATTAGCAGTTGCTTAAGGTTAGGGGAGGAGGAGGAGGAATAAGGATGGTAGCTAAAGGGTGAAGTGTTACTTTTTCTTTTGTGTGTGTATTTGTGTTTGTTTTTAGCTGGTGTACTTGGGTCACAAGGAGTTACTTTCTGAGGTGATGAAAATGTTCTAAAATGGATTGTGATGATGGTCGCACACATCACATCTGTGAGTACAGCAAAAACCACTGAACGGTACACTTCAAACGGCTGGATCGCCATGTGAATCATATCTGAATAAAGCTGTTTACATAAAGAACACACAGCCAATTCCGAAAATGTACTTGTTGACATTTTTGATCATGTGGAAAGTTAAGTTACCTCTGTGGTGTCTGGGAGGATGAAGTCTTCGGCTTGCTGTAGTGACACATGCAAGCTGTGCTTTCCCTGGAGACTGTCGTTGTCTTTCTGTAACCTCACCAGCTCTTCTGAAACCTGTTCCCGTGACTGCATCAGCACTGCCTAAAATAGAAGGAGACACTAATCACAGCCAGAAAGGTAGATCTGGTCTGGTAATAGCTACACCAGAGAAAAACAAGACCAAACTAAAGGAGTGCTGAGGATGGACGGGGTATGGTGAAGTTCTGCTAGACTTAGAAAAAGCAGTGCAGAGATTTTCTGATTTACAGCACATATTCCACAAGAGGACAGGCAAAGCAGCAGGTATCTGAGGCTCATTCTCCATTGTTCCTACAAACCGCTTAAAAATACTATCTTCTGGTTGGGCGCGGTGGCTCACACCTGCAATCCCAGCACTTTGGGAGGCTGAGGTGGGTGGATTGCCTGAGATCACAAGTTTGAGACCAGCCTGGGCAAAAGAGTGAAACTCCGTCTCGACTAAAATACAAAAAATTAGCTGGGC